TCACTGTGTAGTCGAGACTGACCTGAACTCAATATGTAGCACAGGCTGGTCTTGAACTCAGTCATCCTCCTGCCTTAGCCTCCTGAGTGCTGGGATTACAGGAGTGTGCCACAAGGCCTGGCTCTTTTAAGTGTTTACAAAAGGAGACACAATCCTGCCTATTTTTGATTTGAGTTAGTAAGGTCTATTTTACCTATTGACAAAGGAAAGACAGGAAGACTTCAGGCTGCTTTGACCTTACCTATTGCCAGAAAGAGATCATTCACGTTCATGGCTGTCTTGGCTGAAGTCTCCATAAACAATAAGCTGTTGTCATCTGCATATGCTTGGGCCTCCTATAAGGGATGGAATGTATTGGTGCTCAGAGGTAAAAGGGAGTAAGTGTTGCTTTTCCATTCCCATGCAAGGACTGGGCAATTTCCTAGGTTCCCTCCCCTTAGAATGCCCCTTTGAGCCAAGTGACCCTTAGACACATAATTTTGTGATGACTTCCTTAAGATAAATCCATGTCCACTCAGATCAACAAAAGATGTCAGGAATCTTAATTATGAGGTGAAAGGGTAAGGGATTTTGGGTTCTGACATGTGACTAGCCCCTTAACTCAGTTTTTTTTTTTTTTTTTTTTTGGTACCAGCAATTGAACTCAGGACTTTGTGCTTGCAGGGCAGGTATAGCACCACTGAGCTAAATCCCCAGCCCTTAACTCAGTTTAACAGTAGTAGAGATCTAACCCAGGAGCATTTTACCCCTGAGCTTCATTCCTAGGCCTACCCCCAAATTTATTTTTGTGGACCCAGGTATTAAACTTGGGACTTTGTGCTTGCCAGGCAGGCGCAGTGCCATTGAGCTACATCCCTGGCCTGCCCATGTTATTTTTTGATACAGGATCTTCCTAAGTTGCTTGGGCTGGCCTTGAATTTGAAATCTGTCTGCCTCAGCTTCTTAAGTCTGAGATTATATAGGGCCAGGGATTTAGCTCAGTGGTGCTACCACCTGCCTCACAAGTGCAAGACCCTAAATTCAGTCCTTGGTGCCAGAAAAAACGAGTGCAAAAGTCTGAGATTATGTATGTGTGCCACTGAGCCTGGCTCCTTCCCTAAAAAAAAAAAGAATAATAATGTGTTTTTTTTTTTTAGTACTGGGGATCAAACTCAGGACCTTGTTCTTGCAAAGCAGGCGCAGTACCATTGAGCTAAATCCCCAGCCCTCCTTCCCTCAAATTTTAATTGCCTTCCCCTTCCTATTTCACACTGCTACCCTAACAACTGGTTGTTCTACCCTGCTATTCTGAGATTTTCCTTTGACTCCTTTAAAATCTCCTGGCTGTCATTAGGTCACAATGTTGTAGTATTTAACATGGTTAAGAACCAAAGAACGAGACCGTGAATGTTGTAAGATGAGGTCTTCAGAGAGGGCTGGCTTGGAAAAAGAGGTGTGCAGAGTGGGTGTATTACTGGGGCCTCTGTGTGTCATCTTACCTCATATTCCACCATGCGCTTGTTGGCCAGGTCAGCTTTGTTCCCGGCCAGGGCAATGACAATGCTGGGACTGGCTTGCCGCTGCAGTTCTTTCACCCATGTCTTCGCTCGCGCAAAGGTTTCCTAGGAAAGCACAAGAAAGACAAGGTGCGGGCAGTGCAGTCATCACCTTCACCTTCAAAAGCCAGTCTCACACTCATCTCTTCTAGGGTCCTTCCCTTACTAAAGCCGTGAGTCTCTGATAATTCATTACCTGTGTTCTTAGAACCTGGAAGCATAATCTGCATGACTATTTTGCTATTTCAAGAATCTGTTTTCTTTTCCCACTTTTTTTTTTGCTTTTGGAGCTAGGGTCTTGCTATGCAGTTCAGGCTAGATTGAACCATATAGCCCAGACTGGCCTCAAACTCATAGATCCTCCTGCCTCAGCTAACCAAATGCTGGCATTATAGGCATGCACCACTCCAATGGGCTCTTCCCCCACCAAATTTGATTTTATATAAAAGGACAGTTTTCTCAGCCTACTTACCTGATTAGTAATATCATAAACCACAATTGCAGCCTGGGCACCCCTGTAGTACATGGGGGCTAAACTGTGGTATCGTTCCTGCCCAGCTGTGTCCCAGATCTCAAACTTGACTGTCGTATCGTCTAGACAAACGGACTGGGTAAGGAAGGCCGCTACAATAAAAAGAAAAAAGGAAAAGTTGTAAGCAGGAGGGTGTATGGGAACATCCCACCCCCTCCAAAATATCTCCACTGTCAGTCTAAGAATAGTCACCCCCCCAAACCATTCAGCTTAGTGTTCTCCTTACATATACACCCTGGAACCAGGATTGAGTTCCTCTGACCAACTCTTTCCTGCCAAAAGTTTCTCTGGCTAAGGATGGAAGCACAACATAAACTAACTTTTATCTGTTCAAGATGAAACTCAACTGAACTTTACTGAGATTATGATAGAGTAGGAAGAGAAAGGCAGACATGAAAAATAAGTGATTTTCTTGGGGTACCAAGATCAATTCCTTTCTCTCTCATTGAGTTTATTGGTACATTTTAGGTATAGAGTACAGTTATATTCATCACTGGGATCCAAGATCAGTTTCTTTTAGAAAGTAAAAGAGATGAATATATACCCAATTTTAGGCCTTATGACAATTCTTTCTTTCTTTATAAAGGACTTCTAAACAAGTAGAGCTAAGAGGCCAATTCCATAATTAGGCCTTAGATCTCCCTTTCAAAGCCCCAATAAGCACTGAATCTCTTCTTTCTGAGGTACTCACCTCCAATGGTACTCTCCTGGTATTCGTGGAACTGACCTTTGACAAAACGTAATACCAAGCTAGACTTTCCCACTGCAGATTCTCCCAGCAAGACCAATTTGAACTGGCATATCTTGCTGGCCTGGGGTTGCCCATTGGGCCGGGCCGTGCTTCTGCTCGTCATGGCCAGATAATGACTGGGAAAGGGTAGAGGAGGGAAGGGGGTGCCACAAGGCGGCAAAGGGGGGAAGGGGGAAGGGGAGGGGACTTCCAGGCCTCAACAGTCCTGCAAGAACAAAAGCAAGTAAAATTAGACACAAGACTATTTCAGTTGTAATCACTTGTTAGAGAAGGGACAAAAATCTCTTCATCGCCTTGCTCCTATAAGTGCTGCACTCCTGTAATCATCCACTATTAAAAGATTACACCTTTGAGAAGGTCTCAGGAAGCTGACATTCAGTGTTAAGAATGGGGACAGTAAAATAAGAACTGCTTCTGAAATAGAGCTTGCTCTACCACAAAGTCTCTAATTGCCAAGGGAGCTGAAATGGAGAAAATGAACACAGTTTTTAACCTCTCATTAGTTCCCCACCAGGTCTTCAAGATTTTTTGAGTTATACCAAGTTGATTCACATTTAGTTGGCCTAAAGATTACCAGATCCACTCACAGACATCCTAGGGAACCAGTGTCTCCTTGGTATCTTGATGCTGTGTTTTGTTTTTGAGACAGGGTCTCACTATGTAGTTGAGACTGACCTGGAACTCACTATGTAGCCCAGGCTGATGTCGAACTCACAGCAATTCTCCTGCCTCAGCTTCCTGAGTGCTGGGATTACAGGCCCGTGCCACCACACCAGGCTTGATGTTGTGCTTTTTTTCTAGTGCTTAAAATGAGATCCACACTAACACTGTGGGATAAGTCAGCCCTCCTATATGTAGAAGTGTAGTTTCTGGTTCTGCATCCTTCATATATGACTAGTTTTCTTTTCTTTTTTTTTTGAGGCAGGGTCTCACTGTATAGTCCAGGCTGGCCTAGAACTGTTGGTTAGGTGTACACCACACCTAAACTTTTTTTAATTAAAATTTTTTTTCTTTTTTGAGATAAGGTCTCACTATGTATGTAGTCCAGGCTGGTCTTGAACTCAAAGCAATCCTCCTGTCTCAGCTTCCTAAATGCTAGGATTACAAGGGTGTGCCACCACACCCAGCTTGAGACTTTAATCAACCACGCTTGAATAAATTTCTTAATCCTCAGTGAGGAAAAAGTAAGGAACTACAGTGGACGCTCAAGTCACACCTGGCCCGACATATGAACACCTTGGGTTAATTAGGTTAAAGGCAGATTCGTCTGCCTCTTGTTATCTGTAGCACGTACCCAGGTAAACATCAGATCACAGCTATATTGATGTACAACCAACTTGAGTTACAACCAGCCCTCTGGAACTGATGGGTTCTTAAGTAAAGGGTCCACTGTATGAAATTCAGAGAAATTAGACTATATAGAGCATACAAGAACCTCTCTCTAAACCCTAAAAATGCCTGAGTTATATTTTGCTTATTCAAATGGTTTTTCCTTTTCTACAGCTGATCTAGTGACTCCAACACATCATATTCTTACATGTGGGGAAACATTTAGCCACTACAATAAGTGACTTTATCATCACATTAGGGTTTATAAACTCAGTGAACCTCCTTACTACATAGTGAGAGAGAGAAAACCAAACTCTGCAATGCAGAGAACAAAGGCTCTGGAGTCCAATTCTCTGGTTTGTTTTCCAGTCCTACTTATTGGCTGTAAACTTTGGGGCAAGTTATTGAATATATGGGTGCATTCGCTTCCTCATCTGTAAAATGGGGTAATAGTCTTAAAACCATCTGTTGCATAAGGCTGTTGTTAAGGATTAAATCAGATAATGACTAAGAATTTTGTTTATTTGTTTTGAGACAGGGTCTCACTTTGTAGTCATGGCTGGCCTCTAGCTCATGGTGATCCTCCTGCCTCAGCCTCCCAGGTGCTGGGATTACAGGTGCACAACACCACACCTGCCTCAAATTTAAGTATTTGACATAAATTAAATTTTCAATGAATATTAAGCTCTCTAAATCTTAGCTCCCTCCCCTGGAAAATGAATAAAAATACTATCTTCACAGAATAACTATGGGGATTATATAAAAGATGCATGCATCAGAGTGCTAATAAGAATACCTAATTATTGTTGCTTAGTGGGCCAGCTTTTCTTTTATAGCCAGAAAAGATGAATTTAACATGGGGCCGAGGATGTAGCTTAGCGGTGTTGTGCCTGCCTGACAAGCACAAGGCCCTGAATTTGACTTCCAATTAAAAAAAAATATAGATATATGTGTCTATATCTATCCAATCTCAGTGTTAGTTAACATATAAAGCAGCCAGAGATGACAAAAAAAGGAAAAGAGGATAAAAAAGGGGTAAAAAGGAAATTAGAAAATTGAGAGAGGTGAGAACTCCAAAGTCTCAAAGTGGACTAGGTTAATTTAGAGGATGTGACAAATTACTCTGATGCCTCTGAATATCCCATAAACCCTGAGGCCAGTGAGCATTCAACGTTACAAACAGCCCCCGGAAGCATGTCTGCCACAGGTTTGCCATCACTGTCCTAGGTCAATGAGTCTTAAGAATTTAGAGACACATCAACAATTTCATGATTAAATTTTCACTCATTTATGATGAAATGATAAAAATGTAACAAATTTTTCATAAGGCTAAATTTATTCAACTGTATCTTTTTATTTATTTTTTTTGGTACAGGGATCAAACTCAGGTCCTTGTACTTACATGGCAGGTGGCAGAACCAATGAGCTAAAGCCCGGCCCAATGTGCATCCTTTTTATGAGATTTCTTGTCCTTTTTTAGTTTTATGAGACAGAGTCTCACTATGCAGTTCAGGCGTTGAACTCCTATGTCACCCAGGCTAGTCACAAACCTGTGATCCTCCTGCCTCAGCCTCCCAAGTGCTGTTATTACAGGTGTGTGTTACCACTCCTGGCTCTAATTTCTTCGTTTGTCTTAATTTTCTTGGTAGAATGGAATAAAAATACATGGTCCAAGCTGTGTGCAGGGATGAATGCCTGTAATTCCAGTAGTCAGATCACAAATCTGAAGCCAATATAAGCAGTTTAGCAAGACTCTTGTTTCAATATGAACATAAAAAGGCACTAGTGGGGATGTAGCTCAGTGCAAGGCCCTGGGTTCAATTCATAGTACCGCAAAAACAAAAATTCACATGGTTTCATCCTATTTCTGTAAAACAAAACTGTGCAGAAAGCAATCTACAAGGACACACACTTGCCTATTAATAGTGGTTATTTTTAGCCTGGTGCAGTGGTGCATGCCTGTAATCCCTGCACTCTGAGAAGCTGAGGCAGGAAGACTGAAAGCTCAGGCCCAACCTGGGCAGTTTAGTAAGACAGTCTCAAAATAAAAAATTTTAAAAGGGGCAGGGCTGTATCTCAGTGCAAAGATCTTAGGTTCAAACCCGAGTACTATCAACCTTCCCCCCACCGAAAACAAAACAAAACAACATAAAACTAGAAAAGTTATTTTTTTTTGAGACAGAGTCTGGATATGTAGCCCAGGCTGGTCTCCAACCTGTGGTGATCTTACTGCCTCAGCCTCCTGGAGGGCTGAGATTATAGACATGTCACACCCATCTTAGTTTTTCAATTTATTTTCCCATATCTTTATCTATTTCAAAGTATGTGATCCAAGGGACAGTTAACCTCAATGTTACTGTTCTATAATATGAATTAGAATGAAAAGCTGGGCGTCGTGGTGCATGCCTGTAATCCCAGCACTCGGGGCTGAGGAAGGAGGATCGCTGTGAGTTCGAGGCCAGCCTGGGCTACATAGTGAGTTCCAGGTCAGTCTCTACATAGTGAGACTGTGTCCCCCCAAAAAAGTTAGAATGACTGAATTTTCTTCTTCTTCTTTTTTGTGGTACCAGGGATCGAACTCAGGTCCTTGTGCTTGCGAGGCAGGCCACTGAACCGCTGAGCTAAATCCGCGGCCCTTCTTCTTTTTTTGGTACCAGGGATCAAACTCAGGACCTTGTGCTTGTGAGGCAGGTGGTGACTAACTGAATTTTCATGGCTGGACACTTAATGCCAAACCTGGGAAACGGATGGAGGCTAGGAGGAGTGTGGAAATAGGAAACACTCACAGGCACACTTGGGTTATTACTAACCCCCAGAAGGTGCCAGCAAACTTTCTTGTTACCAAGCAATACTGGATTGTCAGAGATTAGTAAATACTTGTTTAGAAAAGACTATCCACCCCAATATGTAACCTCAAAAATTGACATAAACTCTGATATTTAACCTCAACATGTTTATAAGTGTGTCATTTTTTTTCATTTTCATTTTTTGTGGTGCTAGGAATTGAACCCAGGACCTCACACATGGTAGGCAAGTGCTCTACTACTAAGTTTCAGCCCCAAAGGTATAATCTTTTAATATAAAAAAGCTAGATTCTCAAAATACCAGAAGTGAAGCTATATATATAGATATAGATAAAATATAAATGATTCAACTGATAGCTGGGCAATACCTATATTTCCAGCACTTGGGAGGTTGAGGCAGGAGTGTCATGAGTTTGAGGCCAGCCTGGATTATACACTGAGTTCAAAAGCAGCTTAAAGTACATAGTGAGACACTGTTTCAAAAAAGAAAAACAAGGGCTAGAAAAGAAAAATAAGGGCTGGGATTTAGCTCAGTGGTTCCGCTGTCTGCCTCTCTCAAGCACAAGGAACCAAGTTCAATCCCCCAGTACCAAACAAAATAAAACCACCCAAATCAAACCAATCCTGTGCGTGTGCATGTGCGTGTGCGTTTAAAAGAGTTGACATTGGGCAAATGATCCATTCAAAGACAAAAAATACTTGGGAGGCTGAGGCCACAGGATCACTGAGTTCAAGGCCAGGCTGAACTACCTAGTGAGACCCTGTCTCAAAAAAAAGGGCAAAAGCAGGGTGTGGCGGCGCGTGCCTATAATCCCAGCACTCGGGAGGCTGAGGCAGGAGGACCACTGGGAGTTCAAGAACAGCCTGGGCTACATAGTGAGTTCCAGGTCAGTCTCAACTACATAGTGAGACCCTGTCTCAAAAAAACAAAAAACGGGGGGGGGGCACAAAATAAATAAACTAAAGCAAACTAGTTCAAACAGTGTGATGGTTATTACCTTTAAACTTGAGGCCAAAAGGTAAGTTATTCTTCCCTTCTATCCTTTTGGCTCAGATAAGAAATTAGATTTGC